GTGATGGGGGGGGGGAGCTCCTCCTCGGAGACCTTCCGGAGGTGCTGCGAGGCCTGCCTGTTCACCAGGGCTTCTGCCAAAGAACCCCACCACACCTGACGGGCTCAGTGTGATGACATCAGCTGATGTCATCGCACCAGGCATGTTTTGCAGGGGACATTCTAGCATTTGGCTAAAAATTCTATGGTGACCACAGAGTTTTTAACCAAACGCTAGAGCATCCCCTGTACAACGGGCCCAGCACGATGATGTCACTTCTGGGTGTCCAGAATACCCCAGAACCAAGTCAGGAACCCCCCCGCCCCCGCCCAGCAGACGGGTAAGACCCGGCAACCCTACTTTTGTGTTTTAATTGGCAGGCATCTTTTAAAGGGCGGGGGAGATTTGTTGTTTGTTACTTTTTCTTGGTTTGTTTTTAACTGACTCTTTCGACTCTTATTGTAAGCTGCCTTGAACCATGAGGAAAGATGGGATGTAAATAAATAATACCCAGTTAAGTGCCTTAAGTGTTTTAGCCCAGCAACCCAATTGTGTTTAGTCAGAATCATGTCTCACTTGAATATCGCTCTGCTTTTTTGCACAGGTAAAGCACTTTGTATAAATCCACTGTCTGCATTACACCACAACCATCAGAAACTCCCAAAGTCCCATTTGGCCCTGCCCACTTTCCAAAACCACAGGGCAGGTGCCAAGAAAGTTGCTGGCAGGCCAGTTCCAGGCTGGGAAACACCTGGAGATTTTGGGGGTGGACCCGGGGCGGGGAACAGACTTCAATGGGGTATGATGCCATAACCCTCGGTCTGCGTCAGGATGCCTTCTCATGTTCTTGACCAGCACATGAAGCAATTTCTGTACAAAAGCTTACAATGCCCAACCATTTCATGTTTTCCCCCGGGTCCTAGGCTCGGAATCCTGAGCATGAGATTTCTGTAATGACTGTCAATGAATCAAAAGTAGGTTTGCAGCTTACAGATACACCCCTGAACAGCATAATCAAGATTACTACAGCACAGACATTTTGGTGCAATCATTCAGAGCAAGAGGTGTCAGTTATCAGACACTGTTAAATAAACAAAATCTTGCAAGAGTGCTGATGTTTTAAGCATGTTTTATTTAAAAAAAATAAAAAAACTTTGTGTTTGTGTCCTTTATAAAGTTTATATCTCCGCTACCTGCCATTACATTTTATGACACACAGGGCCCGGCCCAACAAGGTCTCATTTACGTCAGATCTGACCCTCATGACAAATGCGTTTGACACCCCTGCCATAGAATCCACTTTCCAACGTGGCCATTTTCTCCAGGTAAACTGATTTCTGTCGCCCGGAAATCAATTCTAATAGCGCGAGATCTCCAGCCACCACCTGGAAACTGGCAACGGTAGAGGTGTCATGCTGGGTACACCTGGTTGAAGGAAAAGGTGAAGGGGCATGAATTTGCATAGTACACAGAAGGGGGAGAAAGAGACCCCCCATACTACTAGACTTGGGAGGGGGGGGTCACCCAATGAAGCTGGGCAAACAAAATTAATGATTTCTTCATAAAGGTAAAATGTGCTGTCAAATCAGAGTGTCAGGGCTGACTCTTGGCGACCCCATGAAGTTCCACCTCATGGCGTTTTCATATGAACACATGAAGCTGTCTTATACTGAATCAGACCCGCAGTCCATCGAAGCCAGTCTTGTCTACTCAGAACGGCAACCGCTCTCCAGGGTCTCAGGCGGAGGTCTTTCACATCACCTGCTTCCTGGTCCTTTTAAACTGGAGGTGCCGGGGATTGAACCTGGGACCTCCTGCATGCCAAGCAGAGGCTCTGCCACTGAGCCACAGCCCTACTTCATGGCTCTCCAGGGTCTCAGGCGGAGGTCTTTCACATCACCTGCTTCCTGGTCCTTTTAAACTGGAGGTGCCGGGGATTGAACCTGGGACCTCCTGCATGCCAAGCAGAGGCTCTGCCACTGAGCCATGGCAACTACAAGGCAACGGAAGTTGTCTTGCTTCCAAGACATGGGCAGGGCTGTTGCTCGGTGGCAGAGCATCTACTTGATGTGCAGAAAGTTCCATCTCCAGTTAAGAAGTAGACGATGTGAAAAAAACTCAGCCTAAGACCCTGGAGAGCTGCTGCCAGTCTGAGCAGGCAAGGCTGACTTTGATGGACCGACGGCCTGATGCAGTATAAAGCAACCTCATGCGTTTGGCTACGAGGACCAGAAACCATCACTCAACTTGTCTTCTGTATTTTACCTTTCTAAATGCTCCTTAGAAGAGGAGATTGGATTTATACCCTGCCCTTCACTACCCAAAAGAGTCTCAGAGCAGCTTACAAACTCCTTTCCCTTCCCCTCCCCACAACAGACACCCTGTGAGGGAGGTGGGGCCGAGAGAGCTCTGACAGAAATGGCTCTTTTTCAAGAACAGCTCTTGTCAGAACTATGGCTTGCCCAAGGTCATCCAGCAGCTGCAAGTGGAGGAGTGGGGAATCGAACCCAGTTCTCCCAGATTAGAGTCCGCGTACTTCACCACGACACCAAACTGAGTGGTCTTCATGTTCCACTGTGCAACAGTGGAATCAGCTGCCTCGGGAGGTGGTGAGCTCCCCCTCACTAGCAGTCTTTAAGCAGCGGCTGGACAAACATAAGAACATAAGAGATGCCAATGTTGGATCCGGCCAAAGGCCCATCCAGTCCAACACTCTGTATCACACAGTGGCCAGAAATACCAGTGCCATCAGGAGGTCCACCAGTCAGGGGTGCTCTAGGCTGTTCCTGCATTGAGCAGGGGGTTGGACTAGATGTCCTGTATGACCCCTTCCAACTCTGTGATTCTATCTTGTGGTGAAGAGTTCCAGAGGCTGACCGTATGTGGTACTGTTAAAAACAACCCTCCAGTGCTAGTTTTCTTTGAATTTGCTGCTTATTAATTGTAGTGAAAGGGGTGCACAGTTTTCCACTTTGTCAAAACCATCCTACACTAGAAAGCCTTCATTTTTTAGCCACTCTCTCTCTCCTCCTTCCATCATTTTGGATAGACTCTCTTTCTGGGATATATTTATTAGACTCCTATTGGAAAGAGAAGTAACTCAGTTCCAGTACCGGCATCCCAAACAAGGGAAAATGCACTCAAGGTGCAAGAGACATACCTGCACTGGAAGGAGTCTGCCTGTTGCATCTCTACATCAGCGACCGCTCTGTCCAAGGCGGTTTTCCAAACAGGGCGGATAATTTTGCCACCTTCAGCTCAGGTGCAACTGAATGATTCAATCATTTGTCATCGTCAACCAGTAACAGGAGGTGCCTGTGGCTCTCTGCACGATTCCCCGTGTGAGGCACGCTTCCATGCCAGGCTGGGTGGCAAACATAGATTAGTGATTCATGCAGAAACCGTGTGTGTAATTGAATGACAAATAACTTTGGGGAAAATGCAACTGTACATGCAGTCAAGAACTCATTCAGAGACACACCTCCCCGAGAGGCTCCTTCCTGGCAGTGCTGCGATCCATTGACTTGACGAAGCTTTGCCTTTCCCTTGCGCAGGGGCTAACCTGCCCTTGTTTTAAGCGGGAGCTCATTAGCTCCTAATGAATGTTAATTTGCTATAGCGGAGCCTCCCCCTTTCTTGGCTAGAACGGGAGAGCTAATTGAGCTGTGTGCCCGCAAGCCTCCACAGCGGACTCGCTAATGATCTCCACAAGGTGCCCCCTGGAAGGGAGCATTAATCAGGCCTCGTTAGGGAGGAATGGGGGATCCACGATTCTGTCCTATCCAGGATGCAGGAGCTGTGCGGGACCAGACCCGAAGTCTCATCTCCAACAGAGGTGGCAACTGGGGCACAAAGGTGGCAACCATCGGGAGACCAAGTCCTAGGAGGAAAGGTTGAAGGAGCTGGGTATTTTTAGCCTGGCGAGGAGACGGACTGAGGGGGGATATGATAATCATCTTCAAGTCCTTGAAGGGCTGTCATTATAGAGGATGCTGCGGAGTTGTCTTCTGTTGCCCCAGGTGGTCGGACCAGAACCAACCAACGGGTTGAATTTAAATCAGAAGTGTTTTCGGCTAAACATTAGCAAGAACTTCCTGACCATCAGAGCGGTTTGGTTTGATGACGGGGTTCTTGAAAATTTCTTCTGACTCCATCAGCCATGGTGAAAATGGCAAGGGTGGCTAAAACAGGCCCTCAAGCTCTCCCTCCCCCCATCTTCCCAGGCAGATCACAAGAGGAAGGGTTGCTGCCGTGCTTAGCTCTTGTGGCCTTTTCTGACACGCCCAGGGAAATGCTGATCACCACTTTGGGGTCAGGAAGCCATGTTTCTCCAGGCCAGTTTGGCCAGGGATCCTGAAGGGGTTTTTTTTGTCATATTCTGGGTGTGGAACAGTGGTCACTGGGTGTGTAGCAGGGAGGTATTTGTGAATTTCCTACATTGTGCAGGGGGGTGGGACTAGATGACCCTGGAGCCAGTTTGGGGCAGTGGTTAAGTGCGCGGACTCTAATCTGGGAGCACCGGGTTTGATTCCCCACTCCTCCACTTGCACCTGGCTGGATGACCTTGGGCAAGCCGTAGTTCTGTCAGAGCTGTTCTTGAAAAAGAGCTGTTTCTGTCAGAGCTCTCTCAGCCCCACCCACCTCACACGGTGTCTGTTGTGGGGAGGGGAAGGGAAAGGAGTTTGTAAGCCACTCTGAGACTCCTTCGGGTAGTGAAGGGCAGGGTATGAATCCAATCTCTTCTCTTCTTCTCCTCTCTGGAGGTCCCTTCCCACTCTATGATTCTGTGATCCCATTGCTGGTCTCCAGCAGCTGCCGTTGAGAAGTAAACTGTCTCAGAACTCGGAGGTTCCTTTTCACTATCAGCAGAAGCCTAAACCTCTCCCCTCCATGTGTTTATGTAAGTTTCCTGTAAGAGCACCGGAACAGCCCTGGCCTGATCCAGAGAAGGCCTCTGGATGCTACCCTCCCCCCGACACACACACACACACAGACGCACCACAGCACACTGCATTTGGCTTGGTTTATTTCATGTACAAAGGCAGTAGAAGAGTCCATCCGTCATGATATCCCTTCTCGCGGCAGATCCGTGCAGCCGACTACTTCTGGGCCTTCCCAACAAAGGGGGGGCATGCGTAGGTGAGACGGAGCGGAGGACTGCCACCTCCCCTTGTAACGGCCTGGCATACCGACCCCACTAGAGGAGAGACCCCCCCAAAGCACCTGAAGGGCAGCACGCCCAAAAGACCCCTGCCCTGTCCCATTTCCCATGCTGGAGAACTGTTCGTCTCTTACTTGATTACCCCAACCGGACCACCTGTGTTCCAGCCTTCGCCAAACGTTCCTCCCCTGAGCCCCGTGAAAGTGGTTCTTGGCTGAGATGGGCATGTCTCTTCGCAAGCCGGGGAGAGCCCAGCTGGCCATCTTGACCGCCAGGGGGAAAAAAAGCAGAAGGGTACAGATGGTACAAGAAGTACGAATGAGTCGAGCTGGTTGGTCGAGAGCAGGCTGGAGCCACGGCGCCAAGATCCGGTGGCCGAGCAATCCAGGAGCCGTGGGTGACCTGCGGGTGCCATGCTGTATCTGATGGGAAAGTTTCGGAGATGGTCTCGGGGACAGGTACGTTCGGCGGAGCATTTTTGGGATGCCGTGCTGAAAACCTGTCGATGCAAAGGAAGCCCCCTCCAGCAGACGGGGTCTTGCGGTTGCCCCAGGTCTCTCTCAGCCGAAAACCAGCATCCCCCAACCTCTTGTGAAAATGGAGACTCCTGAGGGCGTCCTCCACGTTGGGTCCTTGTGCAAAACAGCCTGTTCCCGCAGCAGAGGTTCTGTCTGAGGCCACAGGGCTGAGGTGGGCCCCGGGAGGAGGGAAGCCGTGCTCATAAAATCTGCTCCGTGCTGGAAGCAGAAATGTCTAACAGTCTCCAGGCGGCATGCGGGTTGAGTTCTTCGGGGTCTCTGCAGAGGGCCCAAACATACATCATCCGCAAGACCTTGTCCTAGAAAGAGGGGGGGGGGTTGTTAATAGGGCCAATGCAACGGACCGCTCTCAGATACTGGTCAAAACCGCCCGCAATGAAAAAGTGACACATGACGTTGAGGAGGAGGAGGAAATTGGATTTATGCTCTGTCCTTCACTTGGAGTCTCAGAGCAGCTTACAATCTCCTTCCCCTTCCTTTCCCCACAACGGACACCCTGGGAGGTAGGTGGGACTGAGAGAGCTCTGAGAGAACTGCCCTTGAGAGAACAGCTCTAAGAGAACTTGTGACTGACCCAAGGTCACCCAGCTAGCTGCATGTGGAGGAGTGGGGAATCACCCTTCATTACCCGAAGAAGTCTCAACGTGACTTACAATCTTCTTTCCATTCCCCTCCCCACAACAGACACCCTGTGAGGGAGGTGGGGCTGAGAAAGCTCTGAGAAAACTGCCCTTGAGAGAACAGCTCTGAGAGAACTTGTGATTGAACCAAGGTCACACCAGCTGGCTGCATGGAAAGAAGCTGGCGTGGGGGATTCAAACCCGGTTCTCTGGGCTCCTAATCACTACACCGAACTGGCTCCGAGATATGAGAGGGGAGGGACCAGCGAGAGAAGAGAGCACCCACCAGGCATGCAGGTTGTCCCAGGTTCAATCCCTGGTGTCTTAAAATGCCCTACGGTGGCTGGAGTAAGCAGCGACCTTTCTCTGCCAGAGTAGACGGCTGTGGGCTGAATGGACTGGTGGAGAGCAGCCTAAGCAAAAGCTGTGCCCAGGTAGACAGAGCTGCTCTGAGCAGACCGGTCACCCCTCAGTGCTGAGAGTGACAGACAGATATGAGTGAGCTTGCCGAGGGGGAAAGTGGGGGGCCGTCGCAATCCACTGCTCCAGGCCTCAGCTGTACTATAAAGAGCCTTGGCGCTTGGGAAGGGAGCCTTTCCGTGAAGGCCTGCAAAGCAGGGGCACTTGCGGAAGCCACCCAATCGGCCCCTGCGTTCAAGTAAACAACAGGATCACCGAAATCACATTTCCCATGCACGCCTCGGAGAGCGCTACGCTCTGAGAGTCAACATCTCCTGGCGATCCCTGGCCCAAAGGACATCCGTCTTGCCTCGGACAGGGGCAGGGCTTTTTTTACCCTGGCCCCCACCTGGTGGAACGTGATCCCCCTTGAGATCAGGGCCCTGCGGGATCTTATGCCATTCCGCAGGGCCTGCAAGACGGGGCTGTTCCGCCAGGCCTTTGGCTGATGCAGCAGACGTCCACATGTGGCCTCCCCCCCGAGGTGGTGGTCTCCCACCCACTGATAGCCAGCCATACTTAGTTATGTCAATGGGCTGGACTCTCCCTACAGCAAGCACGACTACTGATTTTATATGTTTTAATGTGTTTTAAATGTTATCATATCTATTGACATGCTGTGACCCACCCTGACCCCGTTTACGGGATGAGCTAGATATAAATGCGAAAAATAAATAAACAGGTTGCTTACCAGTAACTGGTGATCTTCGAGTGGTCATCTGTGCATTCACACCAATGGGATCTAGTGCGCCTGCGCTGGATCTGCCGGTGCCTAGCAAGCTCTCTTAAAAGGATTTTCGTGCCTGGCCCAACTGAGCATGCTCAGGAGCCCCAGTGAGCATGCCCAGAAGGGCAGGCACGGACATCCCGCCAGTTCCTACCAACCGCCACGTGTCAATCTCCTAACAAAACAGGTAAAAGAAGACAGCAGCAGGGCAGGAGGGCGGGTGGTGTGAATGCACAGATGACCACTCGAAGATCACCAGTTACTGGTAAGCAACCTGTTTATCTTCTTCGTGGTCTCTGTGCTTCACACCAATGGGAGATTAGCGAGCAGTAGCCTACCTGGAGGCGGGTGCTGTCAGGTGTTTACTGCTTAGCCGAGGCCAAAACCTGACGTCCCAGACTGTCACTGGTGGACTGGCGGACGTCTAGGGCATAGTGCTATTAGGCGTGGCCCAGGTTGCAGCCCTGCAAATGTCTTGCAGCTGTACTCCCTTCAGGAACGCAGTGGATGTAGCGACAGCCCTGGTGGAATGAGCCCGTACCGGGCCTGGCAACGGCTGTTTCACCAGTAGGTAACACAGTTCTATCAGACCTACGATCCACTTGGACAGACGTTGGGCAGTGATTGGGGTGCCCACACGGGGTGCAGCATATGAGACAAACAGCTTAGAGGTTTGCCTGGACAGCCCTGGTGGAATGAGCCCGTACCGGGCCTGGCAACGGCTGTTTCACCAGTAGGTAACACAGTTCTATCAGACCTACGATCCACTTGGACAGACGTTGGGCAGTGATTGGGGTGCCCACACGGGGTGCAGCATATGAGACAAACAGCTTAGAGGTTTACTAGGGTGTGCATAAGTCTGTCTTCCTGTGATTCCGGGTCAATCAGGGAGGAAGACTTCAGACTGCAGATGGAATTCAGAGACCACCTTGGGCAAAAATGAAATGTCCGGCACGAGGCGGACACCATCCAGGAGGAAGGACAAGTATGGCGAGTCATGTCGGAAAGCCAGGAGTTCACCGACTCGCCTGGCCGAGGTGACGGCGACAAGAAATGCCGTCTTCCACGCCAGGAGCTTCAGCTGACAGGTGGCGAGGGGTTCGAAGGGCCGTCTGGTCAGCTGGCGCAAGACCAAGGGAAGGTCCCATAAAGGTGCTGGAGCTCTGACTGGAGGATACAAACGTAGAAAACAGGGTGCAACCATCAACATGAACATGAAAGGCCGATAACGCGGCCAAGTAAACTTTCAACGAGGAGTAGGTGAGCCCCGAGTCAGCCAGGGATAGGATGAACGTAAAAACCTTATTGAGGCCAGCAGTTGTGGCCGTAAAGGTGTCAGTGTCCAGAAAGGAACAGAAGCGTTTCCACTTGTAACCGTACGACTGACGTGTGGACACTTTACGAGAGTTCATGAGGACCTCAATCACACGAGACGAGAACGCCGGGCCTGTATCC